ACCACCCAGGGGACCACCACCTCACCCAGACCACCCAGGGGACCACCACCACACCCAGACCACCCAGGGGTCCACCACCACACAAAGACCACCCAGGGGACCACCACCTCACCCAGACCACCCAGGGGACCCCCACCTCACCCAGACCACCCAGGGGACCCCCACCTCACCCAGACCACCCAGGGGACCACCACCTCACAAGGCCACCCAGGGGACCACCACCTCACCCAGACCACCCAGGGGACCACCACCTCACCCAGACCACCACCCAGGGGACCACCACCTCACCCAGACCACCCAGGGGACCACCACCTCACCCAGACCACCCAAGGGACCACCACCTCACCCAGACCACCCAAGGGACCACCACCTCACCCAGACCACCCAAGGGACCACCACCTCACCCAGACCACCACCCAGGGGACCACCACCTCATCCAGACCACCCAGGGGACCACCACCTCACCCAGACCACCCAAGGGACCACCACCTCACCCAGACCACCAAGGGACCACCACCTCACCCAGACCACCCAAGGGACCACCACCTCACCCAGACCACCCAGGGGACCACCACCTCACCCAGACCACCCAGGGGACCACCACCTCACCCAGACCACCACCCAGGGGACCACCACCTCACCCAGACCACCCAGGGGACCCCCACCTCACCCAGACCACCCAGGGGACCACCACCTCACCCAGACCACCCAAGGGACCACCACCTCACCCAGACCACCACCCAAGGGACCACTACCTCACCCAGACCACCCAGGGGACCACCACCTCACCCAGACCACCCAGGGGACCACCACCTCACCCAGACCACCCAGGGGACCACCACCTCACCCAGACCACCCAAGGGACCACCACCACACTCAGACCACCCAGGGGACCACCACCTCACCCAGACCACCACCCAGGGGACCACCACCTCACCCAGACCACCACCCAGGGGACCACCACCTCACCCAGACCACCACCCAGGGGACCACCACCTCACCCAGACCACCACCCAAGGGACCACTACCTCACCCAGACCACCCAGGGGACCACCACCTCACCCAGACCACCACCCAGGGGACCACCACCTCACCCAGACCACCCAGGGGACCACCACCTCACCCAGACCACCCAGGGGACCACCACCTCACCCAGACCACCCAAGGGACCACCACCACACTCAGACCACCCAGGGGACCACCACCTCACCCAGACCACCCAGGGGACCACCACCTCACCCAGACCACCACCCAGGGGACCACCACCTCACCCAGACCACCACCCAGGGGACCACCACCTCACCCAGACCACCCAAGGGACCACCACCACACTCAGACCACCCAGGGGACCACCACCTCACCCAGACCACCCAGGGGACCACCACCACACCCAGACCACCCAGGGGACCACCACCTCACCCAGACCACCCAGGGGACCACCACCTCACCCAGACCACCACCCAGGGGACCACCACCTCACCCAGACCACCACCCAGGGGACCACCACCTCACCCAGACCACCCAAGGGACCACTACCTCACCCAGACCACCCAGGGGACCACCACCTCACCCAGACCACCCAAGGGACCACTACCTCACCCAGACCACCCAGGGGACCACCACCTCACCCAGACCACCCAAGGGACCACCACCACACTCAGACCACCCAGGGGACCACCACCTCACCCAGACCACCCAGGGGACCACCACCTCACCCAGACCACCCAAGGGACCACCACCACACCCAGACCACCCAGGGGACCACCACCTCACCCAGACCACCCAGGGGACCACCACCTCACCCAGACCACCCATGGGACCACCACCACACTCAGACCACCCAGGGGACCACCACCTCACCCAGACCACCCAGGGGACCACCACCTCACCCAGACCACCCAAGGGACCACTACCACACTCAGACCACCCAGGGGACCACCACCTCACCCAGACCACCCAGGGGACCACCACCTCACCCAGACCACCCAAGGGACCACTACCTTACTCAGACCACCCAGGGGACCACCACCTCACCCAGACCACCCAAGGGACCATCACCACACCCAGACCACCCAGGGGACCACCACCACACCCAGACCACCCAGGGGACCACCACCTCACCCAGACCACCCAGGGGACCACCACCTCACCCAGACCACCCAAGGGACCACTACCTCACCCAGACCACCCAAGGGACCACTACCTTACTCAGACCACCCAAGGGACCACTACCTTACTCAGACCACCAGGCAGGCAGTCTTCGTCACCTGCAGCCAGATGCACAGTAAACATTCTGAGCCAGATGCACAGTAAACATTCTGAGCCAGATGCACAGTAAACATTCTGAGCCAGATGCACAGTAAACATTCTGAGCCAGATGCACAGTAAACATTCTGAGCCAGATGCACAGTAAACATTCTGAGCCAGATGCATAGTAAACATTCTGAGCCAGATGCACAGTAAACATTCTAAGCCAGATGCACAGTAAAAATACTGAGCCAGATGCACAGTAAACATACTGAGCCTGATGCACAGTAAACATACTGAGCCAGATCCACAGTAAACATACTGAGCCAGATGCACAGTAAACATTCTGAGCCAGATGCACAGTAAACATACTGAGCCAGATGCACAGTAAACATTCTGAGCCAGATGCACAGTAAACATTCTGAGCCAGATGCACAGTAAACATTCTAAGCCAGATGCACAGTAAACATTCTAAGCCAGATGCTCAGTAAAAATACTGAGCCAGATGCACAGTAAACATACTGAGCCAGATGCACAGTAAACATTCTGAGCCAGATGCACAGTAAACATACTGAGCCAGATGCACAGTAAACATTCTGAGCCAGATGCACAGTAAACATTCTGAGCCAGATGCACAGTAAACATACTGAGCCAGATGCACAGTAAACATTCTGAGCCAGATGCACAGTAAACATTCTGAGCCAGATGCACAGTAAACATACTGAGCCAGATGCACAGTAAACATTCTGAGCCAGATGCACATTTAACATACTGAGCCAGATGCACATTTAACATACTGAGCCAGATGCACAGTAAACATACTGAGCCAGATGCACAGTAAACATACTGAGCCAGATGCACAGTAAACATACTGAGCCTGATGCACAGTAAAGATACTGAGCCAGATGCACAGTAAACATACTGAGCCAGATGCACAGTAAACATATACACTCTATAATAACTGAAATATTTCCAATTTCACAGTAAAAAAAAACAAATGAATATTCTAGCATTACAAAAATATCTGGCCGTCCGGTGCAGCCGGTTTTGACAATTTATGCAAGATAATCAACTAATTAATTCTTTTATGAAGTAAGATAAAATGTGTTCCATATTTTTTCTCCCGTTCTTAATTTGGAATCATTGATCAAAAATGATTTCATTTTCCTCGGCCATATTAGTGGGCTTCAGAGCCAGGCCGGGCCGGGCACTGGACACTGAATTACTCGCTAATATCGCCTTTGTTGAAAACTGACATTTTTGGGGGGACGCCATTTTTGGGAAGCAATTTAAAATATTTAACTAACAATTTGGGTGCTGGAATGAACTTCTAACAGCGCTAGTGACGTCAGAATGAGTGTTAGAGAGGGTAGTTGGGTAGTTAACTTCTTGGTGGAAAGAGTTGAAGTGATATTAATATTTGTAATACTGACAGGAATAGGTTTATTAAGGACAGCAGAACTAGGCCTAGTAAAAACTGTAGTAGGCCTAGTAAAGGCAGTAGTACCCCTAGTAAAGACTGCAGTAGGCCTAGTAAAGACTGTAGTAGGCCTAGTAAAGACTGTAGTAGGGCTAGTAAAGACTGTAGTAGGCCTAGTAAAGACTAGTAGACCAGTAAAGACTGTAGTAGGCCTAGTAAAGACAGTAGTAGGCCTAGTAAAGACTGTATTAGGCCTGGTAAAGACTGTAGTAGGGGTAGTAAAGACTGTAGTAGGCCTAGTAAAGACTGTAGTAGGCCTAGTAAAGACTGTAGTAGGCCTAGTAAAGACTGTAGTAGGCCTAGTAAAGACTGTAGTAGGCCTAGTAAAGACTGTAGTAGGCCTCTTGTAGCGGTCCAGAGGCCTCTTGTAGGGGTCCAGAGGCCTCTTGTAGGGGTCCAGAGGCCTCTTGTAGGGGTCCAGAGACCTCTTGTAAGGGTCCAGAGGCCTCTTGTAGAGGTCCAGAGGCCTCTTGTAGGGGTCCAGAGGCCTCTTGTAGGGGTCCAGAGGCCTCTTGTTGGGGTCCAGAGGCCTCTTGTAGGGGTCCAGAGGCCTCTTGTAGGGGTCCAGAGGCCTCTTGTAGGGGTCCAGAGGCCTCTTGTAGGGGTCCAGAGGCCTCTTGTAGGGGTCCAGAGGCCTCTTGTAGAGGTCCCGAGGCCTCTTGTAGGGGTCCAGAGGCCTCTTATAGGGGTCCAGAGGCCTCTTGTAGGGGTCCAGAGGCCTCTTGTAGGGGTCTAGAGGCCTCTTCTAGGGGTCCAGAGGCCTCTTGTAGAGGTCCAGAGGCCTCTTGTAGGGGTCCAGAGGCCTCTTATAGGGGTCCAGAGGCCTCTTGTAGGGGTCCAGAGGCCTCTTGTAGGGGTCCAGAGGCCTCTTGTAGGGGTCCAGAGGCCTCTTGTAGGGGTCCAGAGGCCTCTTGTAGGGGTCCAGAGGCCTCTTGTAGGTCCAGAGGCCTCTTGTAGGGGTCCAGAGAGGCCTCTTGTAGGGGGGTCCAGAGGCCTCTTGTAGAGGTCCAGAGGCCTCTTGTAGGGGTCCAGAGGCCTCTTGTAGGGGTCCAGAGGCCTCTTGTAGGGGTCCTCTTGTAGGGGTCCAGAGGCCTCTTGTAGGGGTCCCGAGGCCTCTAGTAGAGGTTCAGAGAGGCCTCTTGTAGGGGTCCAGAGGCCTCTTGTAGGGGTCCAGAGGCCTCTTGTAGGGGTGCAGAGGCCTCTTGTAGGGGTCCAGAGGCCTCTTGTAGGGGTCCCGAGGCCTCTTGTAGGGGTCCAGAGGCCTCTTGTAGGGGTCCCGAGGCATCTTGTAGGGGTCCCGAGGCCTCTTGTAGGGGTCCAGAGGCCTCTTGTAGGGGTCCAGAGGCCTCTTGTAGGGGTCCCGAGTCCTCTTGTAGGGGTCCAGAGGCCTCTTGTAGGGGTCCAGAGGCCTCTTGTAGGGGTCCCGAGGCCTCTTGTAGGCGTCCAGAGGCCTCTTGTAGGGGTCCCGAAGCCTCTTGTAGGGGTCCAGAGGCCTCTTGTAGGGGTCCCGAGGCCTCTTGTAGGGGTCCAGAGGCCTCTTGTAGGGGTTCAGAGGCCTCTTGTAGGGGTCCCGAGGCCTCTTGTAGGGGTCCAGGGGCCTCTTGTAGGGGTCCAGAGGCCTCTTGTAGGGGTCCCGAGGCCTCTTGTAGGGGTCCAGAGGCCTCTTGTAGGGGTCCAGAGGCCTCTTGTAGGGGTCCCGAGGCCTCTTGTAGGGGTCCAGAGGCCTCTTGTAGGGGTCCAGAGGCCTCTTGTAGGGGTCTAGAGGCCTCTTCTAGGGGTCCAGAGGCCTCTTGTAGAGGTCCAGAGGCCTCTTGTAGGGGTCCAGAGGCCTCTTATAGGGGTCCAGAGGCCTCTTGTAGGGGTCCAGAGGCCTCTTGTAGGGGTCCAGAGGCCTCTTGTAGGGGGGTCCAGAGGCCTCTTGTAGAGGTTCAGAGACCTCTTGTAGGGGTCCAGAGGCCTCTTGTAGGGGTCACGAGGCCTCTTGTAGGGGTCCAGAGGCCTCTTGTAGGGGTCCCGAGGCCTCTAGTAGAGGTTCAGAGACCTCTTGTAGGGGTCCAGAGGCCTCTTGTAGGGGTCCAGAGGCCTCTTGTAGGGGTGCAGAGGCCTCTTGTAGGGGTCCAGAGGCCTCTTGTAGGGGTCCCGAGGCCTCTTGTAGGGGTCCAGAGGCCTCTTGTAGGGGTCCCGAGGCATCTTGTAGGGGTCCCGAGGCCTCTTGTAGGGGTCCAGAGGCCTCTTGTAGGGGTCCAGAGGCCTCTTGTAGGGGTCCCGAGTCCTCTTGTAGGGGTCCAGAGGCCTCTTGTAGGGGTCCAGAGGCCTCTTGTAGGGGTCCCGAGGCCTCTTGTAGGCGTCCAGAGGCCTCTTGTAGGGGTCCCGAAGCCTCTTGTAGGGGTCCAGAGGCCTCTTGTAGGGGTCCCGAGGCCTCTTGTAGGGGTCCAGAGGCCTCTTGTAGGGGTTCAGAGGCCTCTTGTAGGGGTCCCGAGGCCTCTTGTAGGGGTCCAGGGGCCTCTTGTAGGGGTCCAGAGGCCTCTTGTAGGGATCCCGAGGCCTCTTGTAGGGGTCCAGAGGCCTCTTGTAGGGGTCCAGAGGCCTCTTGTAGGGGTCCCGAGGCCTCTTGTAGGGGTCCAGAGGCCTCTTGTAGGGGTCCAGAGGCCTCTTGTAGGGGTCCAGAGGCCTCTTGTAGGGGTCCAGAGGCCTCTTGTAGGGGTCCCGAGGCCTCTTGTAGGGGTCCAGAGGCCTCTTGTAGGGGTCCAGAGGCCTCTTGTAGGGGTCCCGAGGCCTCTTGTAGGGGTCCAGAGGCCTCTTGTAGGGGTCCAGAGGCCTCTTCTGACCCCCATAGAGAAACATTAGGGGTTGATGCCTCCACAGGAGCCTGAGTGAGGGAGGCTAAAGTGTGAAACAGTGACTTGGGAGCAATAATAGTGTCTACTACTGGTCCACTACTGGTCTACTACTGGTCCACTACTGGTCTACTACTGGTCTACTACTGGTCTACTACTGGTCTACTACTAGTCCACTACTGGTCTACTACTAGTCTACTACAGGTCTACTACAAGTCTACTACTGGTCTACTACTGGTCTACTACTGGTCCACTACTGGTCTAGTACTGATCTACTACTGGTCTACTACTAGTCTACTACTGGTCTACTACTTGTCTACTACTAGTCTACTACTGGTCTACTACTGGTCTACTACTGGTCTACTACTGGTTCACTACTGGTCTACTACTAGTCTACTACTAGTCTACTACTAGTCTACTACTGGTCTACTACTGGTCTACTACTGGTCCACTACTGGTCCACTACTGGTCTACTACTGGTCTACTACTGGCCTACTACTGGTCTACTACTGATCTACTACTGGTCTACTACTAGTCCACTACTGGTCTACTACTGGTCTACTACTGGTCTACTACTGATCTACTACTGGTCTACTGCTAGTCTACTACTGGTCTACTACTGGTCTACTACAGGTCTACTACTGGTCTACTACTGGTCTACTACTGGTCTACTACTGGTCAATTACAGGTCTACTACTGGTCTACTACTGGTCTACTACTGGTCCACTACTGGTCTACTACTGGTCTACTACTGGTCTACTACAGGTCTACTACTGGTCTACTAATGGTCTACTACAGGTCTACTACTGGTCGACTACTGGTCTTCTACTGGTCTACTACAGGTCTACTACTGGTCTACTACTGGTCTACTAATGGTCCACTACTGGTCTACTACTGGTCTACTACTGGTCCACTACTGGTCTAATACTGGTCTACTACTGGTCAACTACTGGTCTACTACTGGTCTACTACTGGTCCACTACTGGTCTACTACTGGTCACTACAGGTCCACTATTGGTCTACTACAAGTCTACTACTGGTCTACTACTGGTCCACTACTGGTCTACTACTGGTCTACTACTGGTCTACTACTGGTTCACTACTGGTCTACTACTGGTCTACTACTAGTTTACTACTAGTCTACTACTAGTCTACTACTGGTCTACTACTGGTCTACTACTGGTCCACTACTGGTCTACTACTGGTCTACTACTGGTCTACTACTGGTCTACTACTGATCTACTACTGGTCTACTACTAGTCCACTACTGGTCTACTACTGGTCTACTACTGGTCTACTACTGGTCTACTACTGGTCTACTACTGATCTACTACTGGTCTACTACTGGTCTACTACTGGTCTACTACAGGTCTACTACTGGTCTACTACTGGTCTACTACTGGTCTACTACTGGACAATTACAGGTCTACTACTGGTCTACTACTGGTCTACTACTGGTCCACTACTGGTCTACTACTGGTCTACTACTGGTCTACTACAGGTCTACTACTGGTCTACTAATGGTCTACTACAGGTCTACTACTGGTCGACTACTGGTCTTCTACTGGTCTACTACAGGTCTACTACTGGTCTACTAATGGTCCACTACTGGTCTACTACTGGTCCACTACTGGTCTAATACTGGTCTACTACTGGTCAACTACTGGTCAACTACTGGTCTACTACTGGTCTACTACTGGTCTACTACTGGTCCACTACTGGTCTACTACTGGTCTACTACTGGTCACTACAGGTCCACTATTGGTCTACTACTGGTCTACTACAGGTCCACTACTGGTCTACTACTGGTCTACTACTGGTCCACTACTGGTCTACTACTGGTCCACTACTGGTCCACTACTGGTCTACTACAGGTCCATTACTGGTCCACTACTGGTCTACTACTGGTCCACTACTGGTCTACTACTGGTCCACTACTGGTCCACTACTGGTCTACTAATGGTCTACTACAGGTCCACTACTGGTCTACTACTGGTCTACTACTGGTCTACTACTGGTCCACTACTGGTCTACTACTGGTCCACTACTGGTCCACTACTGGTCTACTACTGGTCTACTACTGGTTCACTACTGGTCTACTATTGGTCCACTACTGGTCCACTACTGGTCTACTAATGGTCTACTACAGGTCCACTACTGGTCTACTACTGGTCTACTACTGGTCTACTACTGGTCTACTACTGGTCTACTACTGGTCTACTACTGGTCTACTACAGGTCCACTACTGGTCCACTACTGGACCACTACTGGTCTACTACTGGTCTACTACTGGTCCACTACTGGTCTACTACTGGTCCACTACTGGTCTACTACTGGTCTACTACTGGTCCACTACTGGTCTACTACTGGTCTACTACTGGTCTGCTACTGGTCTACTACAGGTCCACTACTGGTTCACTACTGGTTTACTACTTGTCTGCTACTGGTCTACTACTGGTCTACTACAGGTCTACCACTGGTCTACTACTGGTTTACTACTGGTCTACTACAGGTCCACTACTGGTCCACTTCTGGTCTACTACAGGTCCACTACTGGTCTACTACTGGTCCACTACTGGTCTACTACTGGTCTACTACTGGTCTACTACTGGTCTACTACTGGTCCACTACTGGTCTACTAAAGGTCTACTACTGGTCTACTACAAGTCCACTACTGGTCTACAGCAGGTCCACTACTAGTCCATTATTGATCTACTACTGGTCTACTACTGGTCCACTACCGGTCTACTACTGGTCTACTACTGGTCTACCACTGGTCTACTACTGGTCTACTACTGGTCTACTACTGGTCTACTTCTGGTCTACTACTGGTCCACTACTAGTCTACTACTGGTCTACTACAGGTCCACTACTGGTCTACAACTGGTCCACTACTGGTCTACAACTGGTCCACTACTGGTCTACTACTAGTCTACTACTGGTCTACTACTGGTCTACTACTGGTCCAATACTGGTCTACTACTGGTCTACTACTGGTCTACTACCTGTCTACTACTGGTCTACTACAGGTGTACTACTGGTCTACTACTGGTCTACTACTGGTCCACTACTGGTCTACTACTGGTCTACTACTGGTCTACTACAGGTCCACTACTGGTCTACTACTAGTCTACTACTAGTCTACTACTGGTCTACTACTGGTCTACTACCGGTCTACTACTGGTCTACTACAAGTCCACTACTGGTTTACTACTGGTCTACTACTGGTCTACTACAAGTCCACTACTGGTCTACTACATGTCCACTACTGGTCCACTATTGGTCTACTACTGGTCTACTACAAGTCCACTACTGGTCTACTACAGGTCCACTACTAGTCTACTACTGGTCTACTACTGGTCTACTACTGGTCCAATACTGGTCTACTACTGGTCTACTACTGGTCTACTACCTGTCTACTACTGGTCTACTACTGGTCTACTACAGGTGTACTACTGGTCTACTACTGGTCTACTACTGGTCCACTACTGGTCTACTACTGGTCTACTACTGGTCTACTACCGGTCTACTACTGGTCTACTACAAGTCCACTACTGGTTTACTACTGGTCTACTACTGGTCTACTACAGGTCTACTACTGGTCTACTACTGGTCACTACAGGTCCACTATTGGTCTACTACTGGTCTACTACAGGTCCACTACTGGTCTACTACTGGTCTACTACAGGTCCACTACTGGTCTACTACTGGTCCACTACTGGTCTACTACTGGTCCATTACTGGTCCACTACTGGTCTACTACTGGTCCACTACTGGTCTACTACTGGTCCACTACAGGTCCACTACTGGTCTACTACTGGTCCACTACTGGTCCACTACTGGTCTACTAATGGTCTACTACAGGTCCACTACTGGTCTACTACTGGTCTACTACTGGTCTACTACTGGTCCACTACTGGTCTACTACTGGTCCACTACTGGTCCATTACTGGTCTACTACTGGTCTACTACTGGTCCACTACTGATCTACTACTGGTCCACTACTGGTCCACTACTGGTCTACTAATGGTCTACTACAGGTCCACTACTGGTCTACTACTGGTCTACTACTGGTCTACTACTGGTCTACTACTCTTCTACTACAGGTCCACTACTGGTCCACTACTGGTCTACTACTGGTCCACTACTGGTCTACTACTGGTCTACTACAGGTCTACCACTGGTCTACTACTGGTCTACTACTGGTCTACTACTGGTCTACTACTGGTCCACTACTAGTCTACTACAGGTCCAATACTGGTCTACTACTGGTCCACTACTGGTCTACTACTGGTCCACTACTGGTCTACTACTGGTCTACTACTGGTCTACTACAGGTCCACTACTGGTCTACTGCAGGTCCACTACTAGTCCACTATTGGTCTACTACTGGTCTACTACTGGTCTACTACTGGTCCACTACCGGTCTACTACTGGTCTACTACTGGTCTACCACTGGTCTACTACTGGTCTGCTACTGGTCTACTTCTGGTCTACTACTGGTCCACTACTAGTCTACTACTGGTCCACTACTGGTCTACTACAGGTCTACTACTGGTCTACTACTGGTCTACTACTGGTCTACTTCTGGTCTACTACTGGTCCACTACTAGTCTACTACTGGTCTACTACTGGTCTACTACTGGTCCAATACTGGTCTACTACAGGTCCACTACTGGTCTACTACTGGTCTACTACTGGTCTACTACTGGTCTACTTCTGGTCTACTACTGGTCCACTACTAGTCTACTACTGGTCTACTACTGGTCTACTACTGGTCCAATACTGGTCTACTACTGGTCTACTACTGGTCTACTACTGGTCCAATACTAGTCTACTACTAGTCTACTACTGGTCTACTACTGGTCTACTACTGGTCCACTACTGGTCTACTACTAGTCTACTACTGGTCCAATACTGGTCTACTACTGGTCTACTACTGGTCTACTACTGGTCTACTACCTGTCTATTACTGGTCTACTACAGGTGTACTACTGGTCTACTACT